TTTGCAGGTTTCACAGGGAAAGCAGGAGTCATCAGCAAGTCAGAAGCATGGTTTACTTGAACCCCCGGCCCTCCTCCACCTGATATCAGATGCTTTAAAGAGATCCCCATAAGTACACCAGCTGTGTTTCTTCATCCATCTCCTGCCAACGATTGCCCTTGCCACAGAGGCACCAAACTCTGTCTTCTTCTGCTGGCAGCACCCCCAAACATCCCCCACCACAGTGTGATGAACTTTATGAATGCTGGCTATCTGGATGAAAGCTCACCCCCATCCCTTGCTGAGCATGTGTTATTGCCTCATCCTCTGCCAGCAGAGAGAAGGTAGGTCCCCAGGAAAGGCTGCGAGCACACAGGCTCTTCACCAGCCCCTCCAGCTCATGTCCTCAGCTGGCTCAGCCTCTGGGGCTGGCTGTCCTGCAGAAGGACGATCAGGGCAGTATGACACTGAGCCTTGACACTACCAGAGTAGGAAATTCCCAAAGGAGCAGGCGAGTGCTCAGCAGCATGTTGGACACTCTTTGACTGCGGAGCACAAGCAAAACAGGCCAGTTATTGATTCGTGTTTGCTGCAGCTCGGGGCTCTCCCCAGCCCTTTCAGATCCACATGGTGTCTACCCTGCTCTTTTGTTCAGACAGTAACACCTAAGGGTGCCCTTTCCTCGGGGCCTCACAGAGGCTGATGTGCAGCAGCGGGATCCTACTGTCCCCAGCTGGGGTCCCCCACAGAGCCCACAGCACTGCCCCTGCTCCGAGGGCTCCAGAAGGCAGGGTGTGGTGCCTACAGCAAAGGAAGAGGGAGCACAGTTATGTTTCTCTCCAGCTCTGCTGGTTATGTGGCTTCAGGCTCCCGAGCACCGTATTTAGTCCCTGCCCCAGGAGGGGAGGGAGGGTTGCCAAGCTCACCTCTGGATGCTCTCAGCTCACTCAAACTGGTCTGGAAAGCTGCAGACCACAGGAGTTACAAGGCAGAGCAAAACTCCTGCTGACTGCAAGGAGGTGTTTGCACCCAGTGACCCCACAGCTGCAGTTCACTGATGCTTCTGATCAACAGGGACTATCTACCAACAGCCAGCTGCTGTGAAAATCCATTTCCTCTCTGTGACAGGTGACTTGGTGGAAGGAGGGCACGAGGAGGCAGCACTTTGCAGCACTGCAAAGGCTCTGGGAAGATACCTGCTGGCTGCCTGTCCTTCAGCAGCCAAGGGGGAGTATTGGTGTCAGACCATCTCAGATGGACACACTGGTTGAAGGTGACACCACTTCCACTGCTTCTGCTCAGAATGGGGGCGAAGGCTGCCAAGCAAGGCTGCTTGCTGTGATGGTTATAGCTGAGGGCTTAGAGAAAGGAGGGAGGGAAATAGAAACAAATTTCTAGAGGATTGTGTAAACCAGTTTGGGAACCATTTTTACATGATGGCTAAGAGTAAGAATAGTTAAGTCAAACATGTTTCCATAGATTTCTGTCAGGGCATGGCTTGTGGTGTCCTACACCCCATGACAGGAATTTCTGCTCACCACAGTGCTCTTGCAGCATCACCATTTCACAGAGGCAAAATGCCTGCTGATCCTCCACAGCTTTCCAAGGGTACAGATGCTGCACTGTGGCGTTGTCACAGAATAACAGCCGTGGTGGCCATGCCACAGCAAAATGACTTGAGTAAAGTGTGAGGAGGGAGAGATGAAGATGAGAACTAACATCACCAGGAAACCCTAATACTGAAATAAAATCCTCTCAAACCAACCCATATATCGCTAGAAGCAGCCTGTAAATGTGAATCCTGGCTGGCAGCCAAGTGCAAATGGCAAGCCTTTCTGCAAGACAAGTAGCTTAATGTGCGGTGAGGACCACTGCTATTACACGTCCCAGAACAGGCTGTGCTGCTGCATAGGTTTTGCAGTGTTGGTTACAGGCTATTAAACCCCTCCAAGGTCAAAAGTTTTCAGTCCTCTTCCAACTGCATAAATGCAATCCTAAAAACCTCACCAAAACACGCTCCAATGGCTCACAGTTTCATTGAGGGTATCATTTCCCCACTTGAACAGAGGCAGAATGAGAAATGACTCCTCTACCAAGAAAAATCAGGCTCATGGGAGGTTTCTTTGTAGGAGCACTGATCAAAAATTTCCTAAATTGAAGGAAGGAGCTGCTAAAGGAGTTTTGGTACAAAGCAAAGGTGTCTGAGGATACCCACGTCTTGCTCACTCCATGCTTCCCTCCTGGGCCCTGAAGTGAGAGAAGCACTAGTACTTTGATTAATAACAAGTAGAGAAGACCTTAAGTTACCGTAGAATAAAGGTCTTCCCTGATGGGGGACAAAGACCCTCAGGAAGGCTGATGCAGGCTCACTCAGAGGATGGAGGTTGGGCAATACCTAAGGGAACACAGCAGGGAGACGGGAAGTTTAAATTGTTAATGTATTAATCTGCCTTTCCCAAGTATATTGTTTTCTTCCATCACCACCACCACTACCCATAAATTTATGTTTATTTTCAACCCTGGGGCTTGTTGCTCTCCAGAAAGGAAAAATTGCTGTCAAGGGCACTTAGACAAAGTAATGTTGTTTCTGGGTGAGAGCTCAGTGTGGTTTAGTAAGAGCCCAGCACACAGCACTGCCCATGTTGGCAAGGGGGACACCCACCACGGGAGGAGGCAGTGGCTTGCCACATGGAAAGCTGCTGGGTGCTGCTGAAGGGTGGGTGCTGGTGACACTCAGGATTGCACTGTGCTGACTGCTGCTTTTCTTCAAGCCTAAGCTTATGGCTCTATGCGATTCTGAAGGACTCATGTCTTCCTTTCATTTATTTGCTTTTTAAGTAGTTTTCTAGCCTTCACATTTGTAAACAAACACCTGAAATTCAATACATCAATGTTAAAAAAACTACAAGACAGCAAGGAAAATAGCATCCAGACTGTTTGCACGACTTCAGGGCTCTTAAGTGGGTTTGGTGATTCCTGGAAGCAGAGGATGATCCTAGAACCTGCAGCAACGTGCCATGGGAGGGCACAGGGATTACCCAGGCAGTGCCCAGCTGCAGCGGGTAGGGCAATGGATTGCCCCACTTGGACTCTTCTCCAGCCTTTGTGTGACCTTCCCTGCTGGCATGCCCCTGTTTCCTTCTTTGTGGATTTCTGGAAAGGGAAGCTTTGACACACTGCTGAGTCATTAGCTGTGGAAAACCTGTAGTTCCTTCAAGCACTCATGGTGCAGGAGGACAAGTAGGAACAAGAACACCCAGAGGTGGTGCCAATGCTAGAATGCAAAGACACCTTTTGAGTCTGCACCATTCTGCACTGCTCCTCGGGATGCTCTGGAAGCTCTTCTCCAGGAGGCTTTTCCATTTTTCACATAGAAAGCATGCTCTGCCCCCAAACCTTGTACATGTTGCCTGCTGCAAATTCCCTGCCACCCACTGCCCTGTAAGAGTTCAGGAAAACACAATCTGCAGGTGTTTACAGGAATTAGGGGCCCATTTCACGAGCTCAGGTATTTGGCTGTCCTGAGAAAATACCAGTCTGAAATACAGACTAAGATCCTGTGGAAGAAAAGCTGTGGCTGTGCCCTTGGACCAAGTTGTCTCTACGTGCAAGACACATCAGTACCACACACACAGGCCAAGGTCAGCTTTGTAGTCTTGGGTAGGTGAGAAGGGATCACAGAGACAGGCTCAGCTGGTTGTCACCTGCCCTCAGGGCTGCCCGGGGAATGAGCAGAGTGTGATTCACCCACCCCTTGCCCGCATCACCACGGCTTCAAAGGGAGCACCGCAAGGGGCCGGGGCTGCAGCACAAGGTGAGCTCAGAGACCTGTGAACCCGCGGCCCCAGCGGCCCCAGCCGCCCCTCTGCCTGCGGGACTCTGCTGTTGCTCACACGCCCCTCCTCCTGGGGCTCCAGTGACCAGGCGCTGCTGCCAGCACCGCCTCCGCCCTGGGCAACAGCACATGGGGATGGAACCAGTGACTCACCAGTGACCCTCCGGTGAGATGTACCGCGTCCAAGCACAGAGGAACCTGTGGCTGGGGTTCAGAGCAGAACAGTGCTGTCCTGTCTTGGCCTTCAGACATGCCTAGGGATGGCCATATCCAGAGGCAGTGTGTCTTGCAGAGATGAGCCAAGGACCCCCAGCTGTCTACCAAATCCAACACAAAGAGCTCAGAGTACCTTTATACCCCACTCCACATGTCAGGACGCTTGGGCAACCCCGGTGCCATTCCAATGGCTCTGGTGACTACAACACAGCAATATAGTTCACTGAGGTTCCCAAGAAGAGAAATACGCATCTCACTGCTGTGGTCAGCCTGGGTCTGTAGGACCCTTGGGAACAGAGCTGACCTTCTCATTCCTGTGGTTGCACATCAGCCTGGATGCTGCCCGAGCTGCGAGTCAGAGCCTGGCAAAGCCCGCATGGCATTCAGCAGCAGTGGTGAGGGGCTCAGCTGCAGGAGGCAGCAGGGCTGGGGTGCCCTGGAAGCCCCACAGCTTGCCAGAAATGTGCCGCCGGCTTGCCAAGAGCAAACATCGCCGTCCTCACAAATGGTTAACCTGCCGGGATCTGCACAGCACTAATGACTTCACATGCATTTAATCAGCTTGGGCTTCCAGAGCCTCCTCCTCAGGAGCAGGAAAGGCCATGCACCCCGGGTGCAAATGCTCCCAAAGCCGCACCCCCCTTACCAATCATTAATCACCGCCGGGCCGGCAACGCAAGCGAGTGGCAAGCAAGTGGGAGAAGGCCGAGTCTCCCCAGCCCCGTCAGGAGCGGCGGGAAGCAGTGCTGGCCGGTTCCCTGTGGTGGCAGCTTGCTCTCCGACCACCCTCCCCGGGAGGCCCCGCTGGAGTGGCCAGCCCTGCACGCACTGCCCTTTCCTTCAGGAAGGTCACTTGGTGCTGGGTGCAGGAGGCTTTGCCTGCAGCTGGGAGCTGCTGGGCTACGTATAAGGCGGGAGCTCTGAAGAGGAGATTTTGTCTAGTTGGCACTGCAGTCTTCATCTCCTTACCATGCAGCACAAGGCATTTTGGAGTGCCCTGGAGTACACCTGCCGGTTGCTGGGCATCTCTACTGCAGCAGGTAAGAGCAAGCTCTCTTTTTCTTCGGCACTAAAAGGCATTGAGCGGGTGTCGGGACCCCTGAGCTGTCTCCCTGCCTTTGGCCAGGTGCAGTCACTGCCCCATCCTATGAGAGGAACAAAGAAACTGGCTTACATTTGCTTTGGGACCCAAGGAGGGAGAGTGTTCAGTGCTTGGCCAGGCTCTTTCAAAATGCTATGGGAGGCACAGTGTGATGTCAGAAAGGAAGAGCCAGCTCTCAGTGTGGCAGAGAACAAGCTAAAGCAAAAGGGAAAAGAAAATTGAATTATATTCTTGTAAAACAGGCACAAGCACAGGCAAGATGTGAATGAGTCTGAAAAGCAAAATACTCATGGCTGTGCAAAATTGCCAGACTGCTCTGTGGGACATGAAAATGAAGGAAGAGTTCCTTGTGGTGTGTGCAGTGAGATGTCCTCTGCCAGGCAGCATGGAGAGGTCCCAGCCATGATGGCACCGTTACTGCCAAAGGACTGCTCTGTCTCTCTAGCAACCCATCAGGGAGCAGGCTTGGGAAGCAGTCTAGGTTATAGCTGCACTGCAAACATCGTAAATGCACCCACCTGGATAGTTGCATCCTTAGTTGCTGCCAGGGGCTGCTTGGGACCAGCATCCTCTGGGTTTGGTGGCACACCTGAGTGCTTGGTTTCAGGTGAAATGCAGGTGTTTTGAGTCAGATGTCTCAGGCACAGCATCTAACTTAGGACTGAACTGTGGCAAGAAACCCTCTCACATGGGGCATCTCCAGGTGGGACTGGGGGAAATAGATAACACAGAGGGCTCAGAGATTCATCCTGGCACCTCTGCTGACTCACTGTTATGGGACAGGACAGACAGCTCTCCCTGCCTCAGTTTCCCCATCAGTAAAGCAGAGATCAAAGTGCCTGATTTGCCTAAAGG